TAAGTAAAAAATGCGTAGCATGAAATTTTACTTATAGAAAGAGTTTTTTATACTAAAAATAACAATATATATATATATAATATTATCAAAATTGTGTGTTACATCGGATGTAGATCATTTTCTTGACATAAGGAAATCCATGACGGGTGGTTGTTTAAAAGTTTTAGGTTTTTCCGGAAAAGCAACCCAAAATAAGACTGCATAACGAGATAATGCTACAACAGTTTGTTTTCCGTTTCGCCAAAAAAACTCCATGAATTAATTGTTGCACAACTGTTCCGCAGGCCGGATAAACCGGATAAACTGAAATTGGTTTAATAAAAATTTTCATTATTTAAAGGCAATGTTTTCTTGATCTTTGATTCCTCAAAACAAGATGGAATCTAGTAGATATCAAAACATCACACATTCATTTTATGAAGAATTCTTACGAATTCGTCCTCCGTACGAGCTAACGATTAAACGTGATGAATTAATCTCGCCATCGATTAATTCCCGAAGTGCTTTGAACCATAATAAAGACCCCGAAAAATATAAAAAGCCACGACCTTTAAATTCGTTTATGCTATTCAGAAAGAATTATCAAGCCGAATTAAAATCATTAGGTGTTAATATTAAGAATGGAGAATTTTTAAGTTTGGCTTCTAAAATCTGGGAAGAACAACCTTATCCTGTAAAAAACTATTTCGAAATTGCCGCTAAAGCAGCCGATGAAATACATAAAGGAAAAAATCCTTCTTATAGATATTCCTCCAAAAAAAACCGCAAAAAGATTAAATCTAACAAAATATCTAAGAAAGCGAACAATACTAAAGTTGAGATTAATCGATCTCCATTTCCGAATTACGATCAGCGCCCGGATGTGGACATTCCTCCAGAACGTTCAAATAATCATCTTAACGGCGATTCCAATGAGGATGAAATTTTTTCTCAAATGCTCATTGAGTTAACGTACGCCCCCTTAGATAAATCTTAACGTTAACGGTTAACGTTAAACACCGAGTTTTTTTTAATTTTTTTTTCGTTATTAATATATGTTTATGTTTATCCATTTATATTTATAATTATGCATCAAATTTATATTTAAAAAAACAATGAATCATGTCTTATAGTAAAAATATGAAGTAGTAAATATCATAATGAAAATTTTATGTAACAACGGTATATTATTCCGCAAAAAAAAAAAAAAAAAAAAGGAAAAGATAACGATATGTAGCGTTTAAGAAAATAAATAAAACAATATGCACGAAAATGAGTATTCAAAAGAAAAAATAATATAAATAATTTCAATAATTTTAAAGAATTTTCAATATTGTTGATGAGTTTTATCATGGCTTCATTAGAAGAATTTACTGAATTTGCTGTAAGTATAAATATACTTTTTGATATCTTATCGCCATAAGGTTTTCAAAACCTTAATTTCGATTGGCTATCACTATTGTAACAATAATGTATTTAACTTTTCAATTGTGCAAATTTTTTTAATCGATTTTACAGTCTCGGATATTACTAAATATGTTAATTATGTAAGAATACTTATCGAAAAGCATAGATATGACTTGACATAAGAAAGCCGGTCAGTCAAAGGTACCAGAAATAAGTTCAGTTAAAGGACTAAGTCCGCAGAATACATTGCGAGTAGGGGTCTACAAATACCCATGCCAGGCACATTGACATCAGGCCAGCTTGTGCCGTACCTATGCCCATAGATACAAAATTGCCAGACACATTATGGGCACGGGCGGGAACTATTAAGGACATGGGTACAAAGCGCCAAGCACTAAAGTGCCAACCAGTGCTTGGCATTTTACATCCAGGCTTACAAAAGTTCTTGGCAAAATTTTTGTGTCTATGCCAAGTTTTGTGCCTGTGTTGTGTCTCTGCCTACGCTTTTTGTTAGGCATGGGAACGAGCCCGGCTTGCAACCCCTAAATTTGAGTAATTTGAACTGAAATGATGATATACTCCCAGGAAAATCGGCAAGTTAGGTTGCGCCAGGTATCATCATAACAGTAGTATGAGTGAGAAACAGTATTGACCGGCTAGTGCTTGGTAATTTATTTATAGTTTAAAGTATTTTTGAGAATGTAACATTTCACTAACAAAAAATTACTGTAAAAAAGTTATTTCTAGCTTTGAAAGAACGTTCATATTCACTGCAAAAATAATCAAAAATAATCAAAAACCTCAGGAAATTAGAAGTGAACATTTCGTTATTTATTATAATTACTATCTATATTAGCTATAACAAATTCTTATTGCAGAAATGCAAAAAAAAAATAGTCGTTTAAGAACGATCAAAATATTTAAATTTAGATTTTGAAAAGGAAACTTTTACAAGCTGTTACTCATCGTATTTAAGGTTAAAATACTGTAATTTATAATTTAATATTATTTTGACAATATGTAGAAGTTAATATATTAAAATGGATAGATATAAACAAGGTTTTAATATAGATACATACGTGTTATATTAATTCTAATATAGGCTAAAGAAGGTAAAATAAGAAGTCATCGGAAAATTGAATAAGTGTAAATCTGCAAAAATGCAGATTTTGCAGAATTTTTTGCAAAAAACTGTAAAATTTTTATAATTCGAAAATTTACACAGAATTATATTTAATTTCTGTGGCTATAGCTGCTGAGTCTGAAGTTTTGTACAGATTTTCACTTAATTTACTATTTACTTTTTTGCAAATCTGCACAGAACTGCACTAAAAAAATTTTCCTGATGGTTGTAATACTTGGAAAATAAGATCATTATTTTAGAAATTTTCATTAATAAAAAGAGAAGTGTCATTTATCATCTAATATTTTTAGCAGGGGAGTGGGTGCCAAAATATCATGCTAATAGATCATATGCATATGTTTATATGTAATCGTAATCAGGGAGAATATTTACTATTTACAAAAATCAGCTGATAAATGACACTTCCAAAAGTGAAAATTTTTAATTAACAATGTACTGTATTTTGGGATAGTAACATCTCTAGCAAAAGCAGTAATAGCTAAATATATTTAATAATGAAGGATAGCATATAAGTTTCACTAGTACAAAGTTTTGCCTGCTTTATTAATTCGTTTGATTTGATTGGTCGATGATCTCATTTTTGTCGACATAAATTAGCCAATCATATGAATGCCTTTTTTTTGCGCTTTGGATCAGTATAAAATCCGGATTAAGAGAATTAAAATAGGATATCTATCCGAATATCCGGTTATTCTCGTCTGCTCGAAGCAGGCCGGCTGTTAAATAGGAAAATGTCAAAATCAGGGGACTATCGTTGTGGTGGAAGGGTTGGATCAAGAAAAAATAAGATAATTATACTACTTGGCTACGTTGAAAGAGGAAAGAGCATTGCAAGTGAGTTGTTTGTCGCTTCTTTACATATTGATTTTGGTCGGTGTAGAATGGGTATCGTGCACCTTATCACTGCATGGTACATTATTAATATAATGGAAATCACATCGGATGTCAATTCTTACGTACATACGTACGTAAGTTATAATATGTGACGATTAATGCGGGATAAGGTGCATGATACGTACATACGTAGGGCGGTGGTTTTTCTGTTACGTAACCAAACATGTCTAGTTTTATTTACTGTATTTTTGTATAAATAGATTTTTAATCAAAAAATCCATCATTCAAAAATGAACTAGACATATGTTTAATTCCATTAGGTGATCTATGCCATCTCTGCCCGATATCATAGGTTGGGATCGAAAGAGATATCAGACCACAGCAATTCAAATTCTATTAGGTGATCTGCTATCCCCAACGTCACTTTGGTTATAATGACATCCAAGAGCGTTCTCAAACATCTCCCTCATGAATTCTATAAAGAATTTCATTGACCAGTTTGATCAGTCGGACCAGATTCTTTGAGAACGCCTTACATATAGAGGCATCTAGCTATAACGACATTTTAAAATCCTTGAACCTATATTCAGTACTTAGTATGAAAATGCATCTAGTTAGCCCGGTATCTGATGTATCAGGCAATTTCTTTATTTTTGGAGTATCGATATAATTAGAATGATAGTATAATAACCTTTTATACCATTATTTTATGAAGTTGATAATTAATAATCCATTATTTTGAAAACGATGCAATAATTAATAATTATCTTATTACAGTATACAGATCGGCATAAATAAATCGAATGCTGAGTTTAGTACATTATGAGTTATGCAATTTTGTACAATTACAATCAATAGGTTTTATTGGCTTCTGAACAGCTTCTTAATATATCCAAAGACCCATCAAACGCATCTACATATTTCGGAAATACGTGAAAACTCTCACTAGATGCGTCACGTCCTCATCTTGTGAAAAGAAAATGTCATATCTAGATTCGCACGTCCATCTTATGAATGAAAATGCCATAACATGCTCCGTGTGTATCGTTTCATCTTCTAAGCGTGCCTTTTCTGATATTTGATAGCCAAGCGGCAAAAAAATGAAATAATTTAGACGAACGTTCAAAACAAGAACGAACATTATTTCAAATTTTAATGATTGTTTATTCATATCATTTTACCAACAAGTTTTTTTTTTACAAATTACATTAACCTTAACTCTAATTCTAAACCTGACCCTGACTAGTGATGCCTGACGAAACCACGTGATGCTAATTATCACGTGCTATTGCTTATCATGAATAGCAGAGCTCTAACTTATATATTGTACCATGTGACAATTAGCATCACATGGTTTCGTCAGGCATCACTGACCAGAATTATTTTATGAAATGAGTGTCGGTGAAATAAAATGTTGGAGAAATAAACTTGTCGGTGAATTGATTGTCGGTAAAATAACCTTGTCGGTGAATTGATTTTTGGTAAAATGAAAAGTTAGTTAAATTACACAAAAAAAAAATAAAAACAAATAACTTTTTAAAATTGTGTATGTAACGTTAATGTTAACAGTTAAAAGACGATACTTTGTATAGTCGGAGATATGACTTCGAGTTTGTCTGCACTAACCAAGGTGTCAGACCCATACAACGATTGCTCAGGCGACCCATAATAACTCTATTCATGCACCACGCACTACAATTGCCGCGACGCCAAACCTTAATTCTGTATTTATTACAATTCTACATCAAAAGATTTCAATCCAGAAAATTCTATATGCAGTAAAAAAAAAAAAATTATTTTCTCATTAAAACATTTTAGTCACACTGATCTCTGTTTTCGAATTATTACATTGTTTTAGGATTTACAAAATTAAATGATCATATGATACTAATTCGAAAACAACGATAGATCCGGCATCTCCATGTTTGAATACGAATAACGATAATAGACCTTTAATTTATTTTTAGCAATAAATTTGGTATGTAATTATTGGTTTAGGCGTGATCACTGTCCGAACCAAACCGTAAGAACACAGTATATACTGAATTCGGGCTAAGTTCATTCGAATATCTCTAGCCCAGCAAGCCAGTTAGACATAATATCTATAATATTTTTATCAATCTAACTAGATTTTAGATCCTTAAATTTTAAAGGAAATAATTTCGAAGATCCACGATCGTTTTGATATTCCGGAGAACAATAAAAAACATTACATGCATTACTATCTTGCTTTGTTTTAATCGACTACTAAAAATTAGCCTAAGATAAACCGCATATATGAATGTACGTTCGTACGTAAGTACGTAAGTACTTGTATGGCATTTCGGATAGATCTGTGTGACGTGCATTGTTTAAATAAGTAATGATCTGCTTATCTATTATATAATCGAATTTGCTAGTTCCATGACAGGTGTTTATTCAAAAGTTTTAGGTTTTTTCCGAAAAGGCAACCCAAAAAAAGCTGCATAGCGAGATCATGCTGCAACAGTTTGTTTTCCGTTTCGCCAAAAAGCTTCATGGATTAATTGTTGCACAAATTGTAAGAACTGTTCCGAAGGCCGGATAAACCGAAATATCAATTAGGTATACGAATGGAAAATTTTCTTTATTTAAAGGCGATGTTTTCTTGATCTTTGATTCCTCAAAATATGATGGAACCTAATAGGTTTCAATTTACTTCAAATATTACACATTCTTTTCGTGAAGAATTCTTACAATTTAGTCCCCCGTATAAATTAACGATTAAACCTAATGATTTAATCTCGCCATCTCTTAGTTCTCGAAATGCTGTGAAGCATAAAAATAACCCTGAAAAATTCAAAAAACCACGACCATTAAATTCTTTTATGTTATTCAGAAAGAATTTTCAAGCGGAATTAAAATCACTAGGTGTTAAAATTACGAATGAAGAGGTTTCCGGTTTGGCATCCAAAATTTGGGAAGAGCAACCGGCCTCAGTAAAATATTATTTCGATATTGCCGCTAAAGCGGCTGATGAAGAGCATAAAAAGGACAATCCCAATTACATCTTTTCCCGCAAAAAAAGCAGCCAAAAAATTAAATCTAATAAAATGTCCAGGAAAAAAAACGATAATAATACGAACAATCGATTTCAAAATCACGAGAAACACGATCAACTTCCGAATGTAGAGAACCATCCTAACGGCGATCCCAGTGAGCAAGAAACTTTTCTTCAAATGCTCACTGAGTTAACGTACATCCCCCTTGATAAATCTTAGCGTTAGCGGTTAACGTTAAGTTCCGGTTTTTAAAAATTTTTTTTCGTTATTAATATATGTATATGTTTATCCATTTATGATTATGCATGTATGTTAAGATGTTTATGTTATTTACTTCATATTTTACTAAAGACGTGATTTATTGTTTTTTTTATAAATTTTAATGAAAAATTTATGTAACAACGATATATATTGTGCCGCAAAAAAAAGGAAATCCAAAAAAAAAAAGGAAAAAAGGATATCGATATGTAACGTTTAAGAAAATAAATAAATAAAAATATGCACGAAAATGAGTGTCAAAATAAAAAAGTAAATATAAGTAATTTCAAAAAATTTTCAATATTGTTGTTAATGAGTTTCATCTGGCTTCATTTAGAAGAATTTACTGAATTTACTGTAAGTATAAATTTACTTTTTGATATTCTGTCGCTATAAGGCTCTTAAAACCTTGATTTCGATTGGCTATTAGCTATTGTAACAATAATAATGCATTTAACTTTTCAATTGTGAAATTTTTTTAATCGATTTTTTTATTAGCATTTCAAGGACTTTACAGTTTCGAATATTACTAAATATGTTAAATATACCATTCCAGGCACATTGACATCAGGCCAGCTCGTACCGTGCCAAGTTTTTGTGCCTGCGCCTATGCCGTGCTTAAGATTTTGTGCCTGTGTTGTGCCTCTACCTACAATTTTTGTTAAACCTGGGCATCAGTTGGCTTGCAGACCCCTAGCTGCGAGTAATTTGAGCTGAGTAGTTTGAATTGAGATGATGATATGCTCCTAGAAAAATTGATAAGTGAGATTGCGCCAGGTATCACCGTATCAGTAGAACGAGTAAGAAGCGTTTTCTCGCTAGTGCTTGTGCTTATTTATACAGTTTAAAGTATTTTTTAAGAACGTAACATTCACTAACAAAAAATAAAAGGCATTGTAAATGTTATTACTGGCTTTGAAAGAACTTTATATTCACTGTGCAAAAAATAATTCGAAATAATCAGAACTAGAAGTGAAGATTTCGTTATTTATTACTATTACTATCTATATTAGCTATAAACAAATTTTTAAAGAAAAATGCAAAATAATAATAATAATAAGTTGTTTAAAAACGATCAAAGTGTTTAAATTTAGATTTTGAAAAGAAAAACTTTAACAAGCTGTTAACTCATCGTATTTAAGGTTAAAATACTGTATTTTATGATTTAATATTATTCTAGTATTGTGTAGAAATTAATTTGTTAAATGGATATAAACAAGGTTTGTATAGATACGTGTAATATTAATATAGGCTAAAGAAGGTAAATAAGATCATTATTTAAGAATTTTTCATTTTTAATTAATAATATATTTTGGATAGTAATAGCCAAATATATAATTAATAAAGAACTATTGATGAAGGATAGCAAATAAGCTTCGCCGGTATAAAGCATATGACTCCGCTGATGATTATTTGAGATGTTTTCAAATAAGATCTTCAATTTTTGCACGCAATTTTGGGATAATTGAGAATTTGTCCTACACTAAAACTTAATCTCGTGATCATTTTACATAAAATTTTATTTCTAAAAACAAACATAAACTATTAACTCTCCCGAATCTACGATTAGTAAATTGGTTTCAAATGGTTTTTTGTTGAAAGAGCAGAAATGGCAAATGGTATTAAACCTAAAAATTTTAGCTTTTAAATAAAATTTTATAGCAATTTTTACAATATTAAGTTGTTATGCTAAATATAATAATTACTATATGTAAAAAACATATAAACAAACTTTAAAAAATATTTTATTTATAAAATAAACTTTTAAAATATTCTATTATGAAACAAATATTTTGAAAGCGTCAATGCGAAGTGAAACGTTCTTTGTAAAAAAGTATTTGTTATGAAACCAATTTCGAAAATGTTTTACATTTATTTTTTTTTAAAGAGACTTGCTATGTTCGTTTTTAAATAGGTTTATTATGTCAATTTTTTAAATAAATTTTACGTGATTAAATTTTGTATAAGTTATATTTATCATACGTATCAATATTAAAATCATAAACCCAATTATCACATAGTGTGACACAATTGTATTAATTCGGTTGATTTGGTTGGTCAATGATCCATTTTGATCGACATAAATTAGCCAATCATATGAATGCCTTCTTATGTCAGTTTACCAAATCTGGATTTAGAGGATATCTATCCGGTCCAAGTACCAATTTCTCGTCTGCTCGAAGTAGGCCTACTGTTAAATAATAAAAAGTCAGAATCAGGATTACCATGTGTGGTAGAAGAGTTGGGTCGAGAAAAATAGACAATTATAATGCTTGACTGGAGGAAAGGGCATTGCAAGTGAATTATTTGTCGCTTCTTTATATATTGATTGTGCTCGGTGTAGAGATGTGCATCGTGCATCTTATCATTACACGGTGCTTAATTTTTACATTATTAATATTATGGAAATCAATCTTACGTACGTACGTATGTGACGATTAAGCATCATTTGGTGATAGGGTGCATGATACATACGTAGTCAATGGCTTTTCTGTTACGTAACTTGAATTCTGTGGTCTGATATTTCTTTCGATCCCAACCTATGTTATCGGGTATGAATTGTGGCGTTAGGTGGCAGATCATCTAATAAGTTCATTTTGTATGAAAGATTTTTTGATCAAAAACCTATCATTATACAAAAATACAGTAGACATATCGATATTTTTGATTCTATTAGGTGATTTGCCACTCAACTTCACTCTGGTTATAAGAACGTTCTCAAATCTCTCTCAATGAATTCTGTAAAGAATTTGATTGGCCAGTTTGATCAGTCGGACCAATCAGATTCTTTGTTGAGTCCATTGAGGAAAGTGATTGAGAACTTCACAGTTTTAAAATCTTGAACCATATAAGTCGATGTATCAGACAATTTCTTTATTTTTGGAGTGTCGATATAATCAGAGTGATGTGATTAAAACCTTTTATATCATCATTTTATGAAATTGATAATTAATAATCTATTTGAAAACCAAAAAAAAAAAACTATCTTATTACACGTATACAAATCGGCATAATAAATCGAATGCTGAGTTTAGTACATGAGTTACAATCAAATAGGCAATAATAACCATGTATCGTTTAAATGCTTCTGAACAGTTTAATAAACCCATAATCCATCAAACGCCTCCACCCTTTCTAGATGCGCACGTCCATCTTGTGAAATGAAAATGCCATATCTAGGTGCGCATGTCCATCTTATTCAGTAAATGAAAATGCCATATCTAGGTGCGCACGTCCATCTATACAGTAAATGAAAATGCCATAACATGTGCCGAGTGCTTCGTTTCATCTTTTAAGCGTACTTTCTCTCAAATACAATCTGATACCTGATAGCCAGGCGGTAAAATAAACAATTTAGACGAACGGTCAAAAACAAAAGCATTATTCAAATTTTATGTTTATTTTCACGCTAATATTTCATGTAGTGCTGTTTTCGCTTAAATAATTTATAATAGCAGGTTTCTTAATAAAGTTAGATAAATTGCACAAAGTTGTATAGATAATATTAACAATTAAAAGCCATACTTTGTATAGGCGGAGATATTACTTCGAGTTTGCCTGCACTAACCACTGAACCAACGCCATACAGCAATTGCTCAGACGACCCATGATAATTCTATGTATGCACCTGCTCAAAACGCACTACAATTGCCGCGACGCCAAATCTATTTCAGTATTTATTACAATTCTACGCATTATTTGACATCAAAAGAAGTAAGATTTCAACCCAGAAACAGAAAATTCTGTGTGCAACAAAAAAAAAAAAAAAAAAATTCCGATTAGCCACACTGATCACTGTTTTCGAATTGTTACCATTATCTTCACAATGGCAATATGCGGAATTACAAAGTTAAATGATTGTGTTAATCGAAAACAGCGATAGATCCGGCATCTCCATGTTGAATAATGATAATAGATCTCTAATATATTTTTAGCAATAAATTTGTCATGTAATTATGATTTGGGTGTGACCACTGTCCGGAATAAACCATAAGAACGCAATATATACTGAATTCAGGCCAAGTTCGGTCGAATATCTCTAGTTTAAACTTCAACAAGCCAGCTAGACATCTCTACAACATTTTACCAATTTAGATTTTTTGATTCTTACACGTGCGTCTCTTAAATTTTAATAGGAAAAATTTCGAAGATCCGCGAGCATTCTAATATTTCGGAGAACAATAAAAGATTATTATTATTACATGCATTACTATCTTGCTTTGTTTTAACCGACTACTGAAATTAGCCTAAAACATAAACATACGTACGTACGTATGAATGTACGCTGCGTATACATGACAACATTTCGGATAGTTTGTGTAACGTTTGCAATTGTTTAAAAATCAAGTAATGATTTGCTTATCTTCCATAAGATCGACTCCGCGACAGGCAGATGGCTCAAAATTTTAGGTTTTTCCGGAAAAGCAACCCAAAATAAAGCTGCATGACAAGATCATGCTACAACAGTTTGTTTAATTTGTTTTCCGTTTCGCCAAATGATCCCATGAATTAATTGTTGCACAATTATTCCGCAGGCCGGATAAACCGAGATTGTTTTAATAAGTCAACAGTATACGAATGAAATTTTTTTTTATTTAAAGGCAGTGTCTTCTTCATCTTTGAATTTTAGAAAATTAGTGGTGAATTCTTCTTATGAGAAACAAAAGATGAATTCTTCATATGACAAATCAACTTATGTTCAATTCACACTGATTACATCAGATGTGAAAACGTCCAAATCCATACATTCTCTCTATAACGAATTATTGAACATACGTCCTCAATACCCCTTAAAATTACCGATAGAAGAATTGGTAGCACCCGCTCGAAGTTCGAGACGCGCGTCTCAGTACTTAGAAAAAAAAACAAAAAACACCCCACCAAGGCCGCCAAATCGTTATCTCTTGTTTCGAAAAGATTTTCTCGCAAACCTTCAATCAGAAGGAAAAAATCTTGATACTAAGGAGGTTTCAAGTAAAACTTCAAAAAAATGGAAAGAACTTATACCTCCTTATATTTATTTTTTCCAAACTCTCGCTGAATTAGCAAAAGAAATTCACAGAGTAACGTACCCAGGATATAGGTATATCCCTCGAAAACAAAGAATTCGTACTGCCGGATCGGTTTCGGACGCCGATCAGTCTTCAGATCCCCTTTATGAAGGGGCATTCGAAATTTCATTTAATACAAACGTGTATGTTTCAACCGAAAAAATGACAAACGATTACGATGAGAATTATAATCAAATACTCTCGGAATTTACGAAACATAATGAGAGTTTTGACTCTGAATATATATATCTATCTTAGCGCTAACAAAGGTTTTTTTTTTAAAAAGAAATTTCAATGTAAATGAGCTCATTTATGTTATTTATGCTATTTATGCTATTTCATATTTTACTATATAAGACATAAATTATGGTTTTTGATTTACGTGCTGCAAAAAAAAAAAGGGTATATTAATATGTAATGCTTTAAGACAATAAATAAAAAATTAAGAACCTGAATATGACCCCATAAATGCAATGACTCTGAGTGTTTTAAAGAACTTAAATATTGATATGAGATTATTGTGACTTCATTTGGAAAAATTTATGATATTTATGATTTCTCAGATTCATGTTTTTGAATTTCGTAATCATAATATTATATTAAAACATTGTTTAACAGATTTAAATCAAACAAACATAATTTTAAGATCGTGTTTTAAACCATTTGCTATCCCTACGGAAAATATTCTGCGTACATTTCTATAGAACATTCTGGATAACACCTTCCAACTATAATATCTACAGAAACTCCATAATGGTCACCATCGAAAATTTTCATATTTGACTACATTGTTTCTTAAATTAATAGTAAATTATGGCAATATACACGTGGCTCTCGATATAACGGATATTGCTTAATACGGAGAATTATAATGGAACCAAGTTATGATTTACTATAATATCTGTTATACGTATCATGAGATTTTGATATTATGGAGCTTTTGATATAACGGTGCAAAATACTGGAATCATGGCCTACGTTATATCGAGAGCCACGTGTACTTAAAAAATGTAAAAAGACAAGACGTTATAAAAATTATAAAAATTGGCTTATTGAAGTAAATAACAAAAATCATTTTATAATATTTATTCATATGAACAATTTAGTGATGTTACTGAAGGTAGGTTTAATAAAATATACAACGCAAAATGTGCCAAGGGCATAAACAATCAAAAAATTTAATAGTTGTTCTTAAAAGTCTTATCAATTCTGAAACTGAGTCTCAATTTTTCAAATGAGGTTTGCACTGTTACATTTATAACCTTTTATTAGTTAACAATTAGTTAACTTATTTTATTTGTTTTTAGTTAAAAAAAATTATTTTCAATGGTTTAATCGGGCTACCGGATATATAAACGAATTTATGGCATCACACAGCATCCCGAACCAAAAATTTGCAAATAACGGTGACTTACATAATTATATTTCAAAAAACATTCTTTCTTGGAATGAAAAACTATAATATTGACATATAGCGCGGGATATCTGACACTCCTAATACATATAATATTATGTTACATGTATACGTATATGTACAGTACGTAGGGTACATGTATAAATGTGTAAATTGTGCAAATACGTACGTAGGTGTATGTGATCGTGTATACGAATTAGTATTCCGTGTCAATCACAATTTGCAATTGACATGTACCGATTGAAAAATAAGCTTTAAATTAAATTAGTAACGGCAATGGTAATGTGATTTCGTCTTATACTATTATATAAATAAAAAATCAAAATATTAGCTTAAATAAATAAATTTTTATAACTTTTTTCTTCAAAAATAACCATAAAACTACAGATATAACTTTGAGCATTGAGTATTTTGACCGAATTTTAAAAATCCATGTTAGCTAAAGGAAAAATAAACATTGAATAATAAAAGTTGATAGAACAAGTTGTTTAAATATATTAAAAAATTCAACCTTCTAAGTTTATATAATCCAAAATTTAAACTTTGGGTATTCATACTTTCAAAATTCTTTATACAAATATAGCTAAAGAGCTTTGTTTAATTAAGCAAGCTGGAGAAGCGCAAATTTGTCTCATTTGAAACCTTTATAAAACTTGGAAAAAAAAACTAGTTTAAGATATAGCAGGTCGAAGAAACAAATGTGTAATTTGTATCAATAGACAAGCTTTCAAAAAATAGAAATAACCATTATGCAATATATAATTTTTTTTTTAAAAAAAAAAAAAATGAATAAAACTACTAGAAAACTTATATGCTACGTTCCTGGTTAAGCGTGATTACGTCGCGTATCTTTAAAAATTATTGATCATATGCGAATTAATATGCATTAATAACAATAACAACAGATGAAATAAATTCACGCGTAGAGAATTTTATTTAGAGCACTACGTACTAATTAATTAGTTAGATCTGCTATTAATTTTGCGGTCGTCTAAAGCGAAGTAGGGATTGGAATTGGTTTAGTACTATTCATAGTAGCTTACTATAAAAACTTTTAGTCGACTAAACCGATTCAAATCCTTAAAGCGGAGGTCAATGATCGCCGGCAGTCTAAATCTACCTTGAGTAGGTTAATTAAAAGTGCCGAGAAGGCAATTTTGTATATATATAACCACCTAAAACCTATCCTAACCCTAAAGCTAATATGAGCTCCCAAATTTGGTACTGTTACACTGCAAAAAATATCGATTTATAAGTTATGATCTAATAATCAATAAATATTTTTCCATGATAATTTCATATCTTATACCTTTGTAAAATACGACAGTAACGTTGTGGGTCTTTTTTGAAAATTTAAAAAATTCTGAGAAGTTTGTGCTGGACAATGATCACGCTGACTTGGATAGCCTCGGAACTCTCCTTCTCTCACGGTTTTAAGTTGACAACCCGCTTCTGACTAAGGATAACCTCCAGTTCTTTATCGATACTGAACGTATCCAAAATCTTGCTACCAGTACTTTACTGCGAGTTCTGGAAACTACTTCTAAAAAGCCTCTCATTTTGCGATACCCGTTCTCTGATAATAGTGGTAAATTAATATATCTTTTATTTTTTCTACTTGGCCATGTCTTGGTGTATCATACTAATTTTTTTTGTCTGTCATTTTAAAGTTTCCATTCGCATAAATCTCAATAGATCTTGGCTGGTTACAACAATACCTCATGACTCCGGTATGTGGTTTAACTCGCGTCAGCTTGCCATAGATAAATTCGATATTTTGAAGACGGATCCGCGCCCACACTTCTTCTTCTTCAATGATGGAACGCAAACTGAAATTACAACCGAATATGAATTTAATATGATGGTGAAAAGAATATCTCCGAACAATAATAAAGTTCGTCAGGTGTCTGTGACTGTTCTAGTGGAAGGTTGGTTTATCTCGTTTGAGAAAGTCCTAATCAGTTATGACATGAATGTTCATATGCCCGATTTTCATGTTTCGGCAGGAATGAAAGCCTACAGTGAATGGAATTTAAGTGAAATCACTAGAACCCTCTTTGGAGAAATGTGGGACTCTATAGATTTTACTCCTAAATTCGACAAAAGTGCAGTTTTGATCTTTTCATATTAGGGTACGTTTCTATGTGTTATGGTTCGTATAAAATTTAACTAATTTCTATACACAGATGAACTACCAAAACCTGAGAAAGAGATCGAAATTCCGGATGGGTTTTTTAGTGAGATCAGAAGAAAACTTGAAGCCTTCCAAATGATCAACAACGAACAAACTGTTCGTGAGTTCATTTCACCATTTCTCACAACGGCGGTTGCGATTTTGAAGAAAAATCAGCATAATTTAAAACTGAACGCGAAAATAGATCTCCAGGGAAGCCGGGGGTTTGGTCCAGTTGATTATTTTATCGAAAGTGATGGCATTTTATTAATTGTTGTTGAGGTAAAGAAAGAAAACTTTGATCAGGGTACAGCGCAAGCATTCGCCCAAATGCACAGCGTAGTCGAGGTGCAGGAAATTTCAATTCGCTCCTTTTATTCCTATTCGATGTCTAATTAATTCAAAATTTTGCTTTTCAGGCTTTAGAGAAAAAGTTCAAACTCGATCAGACTGACTTTGAAGAAGGCAAGTTTCCTATCATGATGTATGGTATTGTAACGAACGCTCGCGAATGGATCTTCATTCGCTGGGTTGGCGACTCTAAAAAACCAAAAATCGCGATGACAACGCATTTGTCTTGCCCATTTGACGGTGATTGGTCTCGTGCGAAGGAAATTCTAGAATTCATCATTGGGATTCTTGAATCACAGATCCTTATCACACCATATAAAAAAGTTAAAGTATAATGATCATTAAGATTTGTTTTCGATCTCTAGTTTTATCACGAAACAAAAGCGATACATTGTATCTTATATGTATCGGATGAAGTTTTGTCAAACATATGACGTATGAGGAATTAATTATGTACCAAACTTGTTGAAAAAACTAAATAACCAATAAACTTGGATAATTCACCCTCATCTTCGCGATCTTCGCGTATATTTTTAACTATAATAAATCTAGTTTATTATGGTAGTTGTGCGACGTAGTCGTGCTTAAACCAGGAACGTAACGTATAAGTTTTCTAATAATTTTTTTTTTTTTTAAAAAAAAGACGGGTGGGTCAATCCGCGGGTCACCCGTATACCAACCCACAGGTGACCCTGGCATGCGCGCGTCTACTATCAGAAAGTTTCGATTGTAGCATATGGTCTACACGTCGGGACTTGCGCGGGTAATACAAACCTCTAACAAGGAAATGGATCAGCCCGACAGACATGCGAAAGTAGAAAAAAAGAAAAGAAAGCGAAATTATTCAAAAACTAGTGTTTAAATTGACCAATAAAAAATAACGGGATGAAATTTTACATATAATAAACTTCAACTTATCGCTATGGCTCACTACCATAACGTTCTAATTCTAAACTTCTATTTTTACGCACTTTAGTTTATTTACAAAATCAGATTTCCTTTTTTGGTTTGTATTACGCGCGCAAATAAATAAAATCCCGTCGGGTAGATTTTTTAAACGGGTCCAAACACTAACCCGGAGAGTTACCAAATAGTTAATCACTATATTATACAAAATTAATTGCTTATCATTACAGATAATATTAATAAATTTTCTTTACTCATATCTAAATTAACATAAATAAATAAAAAATTAAATAGTAAATATTTGTGAATCTTGAATAGCTTATTTAAATAATAAAGTTTTTTTATAAAATTTATTTAATCCAATTATCAACATTCATATTTTCACTTTTTACCTTGTTTTTGAAAGCCGCATACTCAACACCAAGTAATAAAAAGTGTTATAGTTTACATATTCTCTGCTATAAAATTAATAAAATTGGTTAGTATATATTGTATAAAATAAAAAAATAAAAATTATAATTGATACCTAGTATATTGTTGAATAAACTATTAGATTTATCAAATAATCATGATGATCTAGGCTTAGAGTTAAAGAAAGATAATCAAATAATCATGAAGATTTAGGGTTAGCCATATGGGTATATTGAATGCATTGGGCCTTAGCAAAAGACACCAAATTTTAATTTAAACCATATATTTTTCTATATTCAATTGGTCAAATTTACAGATTATATCCTAATAATTTAAAACTATACCTTAAATATCATACATCAAACCCATCTGTCCCAGCCCAAAACCCATCTTATTTCCGTTAGTTAGAGCTCTACTAGAATATATTGTTTGATGTTTACACCCCACTATAACATATTATTTGACATTATGTGCATTGTTATCTTTAAAAGAACAATTTGCATAACTTTCTTTATAAAAGAAATACTTTGCTAATTATTAACAAAAAGAAGAATAGGAAATAGTAATATAAAAATATAAAACTCACTAGCAGCACTATTGCTATTATGTTGTTACTATGTCAAATGACTTGACACTCTATAAAAAATTTTTGGGGTGATGTGTCTACTATTGTATATTGCTTGCTGCATGCTGTTGCATATTTGTCTATATGAGTTAGAGGCTAAGCTACAAAAAAACTGAACTGAACTTCAAATTAGACTTTTTAAAATAAACTAAGGTACAAAAAAATCTATAGAACCAAACCGAACTTCAAACTAGTCTTTTTAAAATGAGCTAAGCCACAAAAAAATCCATTGAACCAGACTAAACTTCAAACTAGACTTAAAATATTGAACCAAACCAAACTTCAAACCAGACTTAACAGACTAAACTTCGAACCAGATTTAAAATATCGGATGTTCTATAGAATAGGTAGGCAATATAAAAAATAAACTTTGCTACTAATTAGTAATTATTAATAAATATTTAGCAGAGTTGTGAAGTTTGCAGAGTCTGCCCACCTATTTTATAAAACATCCAAAATATCAAACTAGACTGAACTTTGAACTAAACTTAAAAATGTCGAACTAGACTTAAAATGTCAAACAGATTTTTCAGGTCATGTAAAAATTCAATCTACAATCAAAATTAGCCCTCCTTGGTTACACAAATCATAACAGTACATATAGTTTTTTTTTATTTATATATAATTTCTTTTTTTTTGTTATATAGTAATTTTTTTTTCATCTTCGTCAAAGTTTTTTTTATTATAGTTGGTGCCATCATTTGGAGTTGTTATATGTTTATACTGTTACTTAAAGTTGTTATATATTGTTTTTTTTATCATATATTGGTTTTTTCATCTCAAAATGTTTAGTAAAGTAGTACTGTATGACATACAAATTCAGTGGAGACATATGTGTTGTTAATGTAGACCTGTTAATAATAATTAGAATAAGTGATAATATAGTGTTTTTTGTTTGGATTGTGTTAGTCAGTTTAATGAATTTATTTTTTATAATACTTAACTATGTACTCTAAATGGAGTATAATAAACTTTATATGAACTTTTTTCAAAGCTTTTTGTGCTTTTTTGAAGAACTTTGTAGACTTTTCTTGAACTTTTAGCATTTGGTGATAGTGAAAGTAAAACTAAAAGTTTTTAATATCTTTTGGATTATGTTTTTTAATTAATTCTAGCCTAGTAACTAATTTTTTAAAATTCTGGATCTTCTTTTTGGCGTTCTTGGTAAATTTTATATAAACATTTCTCTAAACTTTTATATTTAGCAGTGAAATTTTTGTGAGCTTTAATTTTTTTTGTTGAACTTTATGTGGACTTTTTTCAGAACTTTTGGCATTTTTTTGGTGGGCTTTTCTTTCAGGACTTTTAGCATTTCTTGGCAAACTTCATATAAATATTTTTTAGAACTTTTAGTATTTGGTGATAAAATTTTTATAGACTTTTATTTAAACTTTCAGGTTTCTTAATAAACTTTGTACAAACTTTTTTCTGGATTTTTGGTGTTTGGTAATGAATTTTTGTAAACTTTTATCTATTTAGATCACATAAAGTTAATTTTTTGTTTTATATTACCTATCATTCATTTTTTCAATTTTTTAAATTTTTTTTTTTAGATCCCAATTGTGCCAATTTGTCGATTTTTGACACCTATTTTTATCTGGTATCACCTCAAGGTATCACCCAATAAAGACTTTAATTTACAATAATTGTCCAATAGGACTGACAGGAAAAATATAATTGAACTCTTTTTATATTATAATTATTATGTCTCCAACAAACAAAAAAAAAAGCAACCTGTTCAACAAACAAAAAAAATATTACCATTACTGACAACTTCAAATATATTTGTTTTAACTACTTCTGTTTTTTCTTTAGCAATTCCAAATAGTTTTATTGTCTCTTTGCCTAATTACAATACTTCTGTTGTTCTTTTTATAAATTTAACAAATTATCATATGCTGTTACAACAATATTATTCTTCTGTGCTACTATTTAATTCTTTAGTTTTAAATAGAACTAATAGTATATATTGAATTTTATTTAAATTTGTTAATAAAAAATTTTTTAGGTATTTCTTTTAAAGTCATCTGTTAGTGACAATAATCAAACTTCTACTACTAATAGTAGTTAAGAAAATTTACAAGTTGTAGATAAAATATCAAGTTCATCTGACACTAATACTATTTTAGAAAATAAATAATTGATGAATATTATCTAAAAATAACAATTGTCAGTTATTTTTTTGAGAGTTTCTTAATATTTTTTATTTGTTATAAAAGTTTCTAGCATGAAAAGTAAAAAAGTAATTTGTTGTTAATAGCGAAGATTCATATTGTTAGAAGTATATTTAGTGCAAAGTGTAAGTGCAAAGTATAATGATTTGATTGTAAAAAAAAAAAAAAGTTGAATATAAAAAAAAATAATAGTTTAATTATAAAAAAAAATTATAATTTGATTGTAAAATGTTTGAATAATCTCACTTTATGATAAATTTTGGCCAATTAATGCAGCTCTATAAAAAAAAAGATAGTCACTATTAACTGTGATGATAAACTCTCTTAACTAGCTAAGCTAATTTTTGTTAATTAAAATTTATACACCAATCTATTGATTAAGGTGCTTAAGAGCACACTTAGTTTTAAAAAAAGTTAGAGTTTGATTTTAAAAATCAAAACAAATTCAAACTTAGTTAAAGTTTGGTTTGGTCTAATTTGATAGAAGTACTACATCTATATATTTTTGAACTCAAACTAGTCTGTAAACTTCGAACTCAAACCCGGACCAGACTCAAACTTGATTAAAAGTTTGAATCAACAAAGTTTAAGTCTGGTTCAAAAATTGAACCAGACTCAAATTTAATAAAAGTCTAGTCTGGTTTGATAAAAACACTAGTCTGGGCTAACTAATTCTTGCAAGTATCTAGTTTAGAAGACTGATAATATCAAAAGAAATAAGATGTGAAAAGTAATAGAATATAGTACAGAGATCTGTGAACCTTAAAAGAGTAAAAATAGATAACAGTAGGGGTTTAATAGTTAGCTCTGACCTAGAGGCCTGCAAATTCCTAATTTTAAGGCCCGGGCTCGGCCCGCAATTAGGGTTACAAATTTTTTGCTGGCCTGGGCCTGCCCGCAATTAAAAATTTTTTGTCAAGCCTGGCCCATTTTGGCCCGGCCTGCAAATTTTTAATATAAATTTTTTTAAAATTTCAGCCTGGCCCGGCCCGCAATTATAAAAAATTTTTTTAGGCCCGCCCAGACCTCGCATACTGAGCCGGCGAGACCGGGCCGGGCTGGGCTTTGAGACCCAATACAGGCCTCTACTCTGACCTTTAGTATATATAAAATCATATGTAAGTTACTAAAGTCTAGATATATACCTTAGGTAGATAGGCCACTCTGGCAGGTTTACCTTAAGGATAAATAGTTAGTTCTAAGTTGGTTATTAATCTAG